GATAAAAAGTTAGAGGTGGACGGTAAAACAAAAGTACCTATCGATAAACTAAAACCGGCATACATAGAAAACACTATTATGAATAACACTGTACAAAAACCAAAAAAAGTGTTACATTTAATTTATTAAACGTTATTTTTTCGGAGGGGAGTATTGTAGGGATACATTCCTTTCTATTACTGTAAATTTTAATTTAATATTCAATGATTTTAAAATAATTAATTTGAATTTTATTGTCATTCTTTTATATTTAACATTTTTCATTAAAATATAATACTCGTAACTGTTAACATTAAAATTTACCTAAAATCACACCTGCTACTTTTTATTTTGAAATTTCAAGTGGGCGAGGTGTTTACTTACTAAATAACTATTAAAAGTCGTATATCTTGGAAACTGGTACAATTAGAATCCTCAAATTTTGCACGGACAACTTTGACATCCATCCAAGAACAATTTTGGACAAAATGGGCTGAATGACTAGTGGTCGTGGCAACTTCCATATTAAGAAAATATAAAATCAGTATATATCAGAAAATACACCAGAGTCCTCAAATTTTGTCGCACCCACATAAGGATTGGCCCCTCCCATATGAATTAAATACATTACAATATTATTCACATTTTTCATAGCTTACATTAAAATCCTTATTAGCCTTCGGAAAAATTGGCGAACTTGCAATAATTTGCATGGCATCTCCCATGTGTATGTGGGTTTTTTATTTATATTGCGTTAGGTATACCCAGTGTTATAGCTAGTTAATTTATAAAAAAAATAGTAAAATACTTTTAAAAAACATATTTTTGATACCATTACCTGTAAATTTTAGTTCATTTTAAAGTTATTTATTTTTTATTAAAGAAATAATAACATTTTAATGCTCTAACGTTTGAAGAAATAAATTATTTTTGAATTAATTGAAATATAAAAGAATAAATTACTGCAAATGGCAAGACTTATTCATGTGTGAGCGTAGTCACACACGATCTTTACGCTGTGAGAGCAGAATAGAAATAAAGCAACCAGCAAAATTAGACCTGGTCCACACTAGGAAACTTTTGTTGAGAAACTTTTCTTAATTCTCTTTTGAAGTTTCCTTAATGTCCACACATAGAAACTTTTGTTTCAGAAACTACGTATTAATTGCATTGATTTGTTGTACGAATGAGAAGAATAACTGCCGGTCCACATAGGAAACTTTTTTGGGAAACTTTTGATTTTGCGTGACAGAGAAAGAATATCATTCATCTCTCTCGCGGTACGGAGTTTCTCGTACTCGGAAACTTGTTTTGTTTTGTTATTCTTCTCATTCGTACAACAAAAAATCAGTGCAATTAATACGTAGTTTCTCAAACAAAAGTTTCTATGTGTGGACATTAAGGAAACTCCAAAAGAGAATTAAGAAAAAGTTTCTCAACAAAAGTTTCCTAGTGTGGACCAGGTCTAACAAAACAAGTTTCCGAGTACGAGAAACTCCGTCCCGCGAGAGAGATGAATGATATTCGTTCTCTTTCTCTCTCACGCAAAATCAAAAGTTTCCTAGTGTGGACCGGCAGTTATGAACGTGAATCAAAAGCAAAGTCGTAAAAAAACCCTCAAATTACGATTCGTGCGTGTTTTGCTACTTCCCTTCGTTCTTTTCCCACTTTGCCAACAAACTCGACACGCTTGCGTGCTCACCTTTGAGAAAAAGTTTCATGTAAACCGGCACTTAGACATTTTCAGAACATTTTTCTGCCAACGTTGTAAGATCAAACAACAGTGTACAAGGCGAATCAAGGTGGTGGCAGTTCGGCAACAACAAAATTTTCAATATAATTTTTGTTTTTGTAAAATTTGTTTTTGCTTTTGGTACGCACTGATGTCAAAAACAATAATTGCGGCGAATTCATTTAATGAAAATATTTTGTGAAATTCTTATATTTTATAAATAATACACCTAAAAATATTAAAACTTGTGCAGATAATATACCCTGAGTGGAATAATGTATATACCGAATGAAAGAATCTTTGTTGTAAATGGAAAATTCTACTCCGGCAGATTAATTTTTAAGATTTACACACTGTAGTCAGCTGCCGCCGGACGGATAAATACCTCATATGGGTTTTGTTATAAAATGCGTTCCTGTTAATCACATTATATACACAGTGTAAATATAAAATAATTTATTAAATTTTTTTAGATCTCAAAATTTTACCATAACATAGAAGACAGCTGCCGCCAGTCGGGTAAATATGGGTTTTTAGTTAATCGCGTTATCTACAAAGTGTAAATATAAAACAATATTGTTTAATTTGTTAACATTTATTAGAAAAAATATTATTGATATATTAAGTCGGTACATGTGTACCAATTATTCATTATTTATATAAGAAAAATATTCGTTTACAAAATGTTTGGTATTTTCAGATTTTTTACATAAATTATTCAGAATACTAACGAAGTTTTTCTCTGTTTTAACATAAATTTTTAAATATACAAATGTAAACAATAATAAACTCTGACATCAATGCGTACCAATCAAGTGAAGAAAAAAAATAATCACCTTAAGTGAATTCGCCTTGACTGTGTATCACAGCTTCCTGCCAGCACAAGGTATATATATATACTTTGTGCTGCCAGATTTGCCGATTTTTTACCCTAAAATTAGTAAATTTTTTACTCAATCCAAAAATATAAATTTAATTACTTTGATTGACTTGGTTAAAATTCTAAAGAATTTATTGTCAAAACTAAACTTCACAGAAGCAAAAATCACATGGTGCTTTTAAAACAATTGCGAAATTAAAATTCATATGACAGTAAAACAAATTAATTAAAATTTAAAGCAAAGAGCATCAATTTTTAAGTAAAAAGCAAACAAAACTAAACTAACTCACATGCACTCAGTTTTGCTCGACACTAGATCTTTAGAAAAAGCTAAAATTTTTTACAAAGTCCGATATTAAATAAATGGCGATTGAAAATTTGTGCTGAACCTTGAAGTGACGGTTGGGACAATATCGAGCAACCCAACCAATTCGGAGTAGCTTTAGCAACAGGTTCAGAGGAGTGGTTTATTTAATATCAGACTTTGTTTAGACATTAAGAAAACTTTGAAATAGAATTAAGAAAAAGAGCACAAACATGATTTTGTGTGTGAGAGAAAGATGAAGAAATATCAATAATTTCCCTCGCGGTACGGAGTTTCTCGTACTCAGAAACGTGTTTTGTTTTGTTAGACACTAGGAAACTTTTGTTGAGAAACTTTTTCTTAATTCTCTTTTGAAGTTTCGTTAATGTCCACACATAGAAACTTTTGTTTCAGAAACTACGTATTAATTGCATTGATTTGTTGTTGTACGAATGAGAAGAATAACAAAACAAAACAAGTTTCCGAGTACGAGAAACTCCGTACCGCGAGAGAGATGAATGACATTCTCTTTCTCTCTCACGCAAAATCAAAAGTTTCCTAAAAAAAAGTTTCCTAGTGTGGACCGGCAGTTAGACCTGGTTCACACTGGGAAACTTATGTTGAGAAACTTTTGATTTTGTGTGTGAGAGAAAGAGATGGTTGATATCTCTTTAATTTTCTCTCACACACAAAAATCAAAAGTTTCCCAAAAAAAGTTTCCTAGTGTGGACCGGCAGTTAGCACACAAGCAAACTTTTTTTGGGAAGCTTTTGTGTGAGAGAAAGAGATGGTTTATATATCTTTTTCTCTCACACACAAAAATCAAAAGTTTCTCAAAAAAAATTTCACTGTGTGAACTTTTTTTTCACACAAGCAAACTTTTTTTTGGAAACTTTTGTGTAAGAGAAAGAGATGGTTGATATATCTTTTTCTCTCACACACAAAAATCAAAAGTTTCTCAAAAAAAAATTCACTGTGTGAACCGGCACATATTCTTCTCATTCGTAAAACAAATCAATGTAATTAATACGTAGTTGCTCAAACAAAAATTTCTACGCGTACACATTAAGGAAACTTTAAAGAGAATTAAGAAAAAGTTTCTCAACTAATAACCCATTTACACTACAACAAAATCTAGTACTTATAAGATTTCGAGCCAAATCTAGTTGATTTTAACTAGATTTCCCTTATAACCCATTTACACTGCATCGAAATCTTTCTTCAAATCTAAATCGTTTACACTTCGTATTTTTGGCATTTAGGAAGATTTCATTTTTTCTAATATTGTGTTTGATATGAAAATTTAGAAGGAAATATGGAAAATTTACTAGAATTTCATTTAGAATAAACAAATATATATTTAAATATTACATTACCTTCTATATTTTTAAATTAATTTTTCATTCATGTTTTCCAATTTATTAAAATTTTATCGAAATTTTTATTTTTCTTTGTTTCTTTTGTTTTTCTCTTTTTCCTTGTGTAATATTATTTGGGAAAAACCAGAGTTGCATTTCTATTTTTGCTAGATTTTGCCGAAATGTACTAATGAAGTAGATTTTGTTTTGTATGGGACATCTAGTTAAAATCAACTAGATTTGCTCGAAATCTCATAAGTACTAGATTTCGCTGTAGTGTAAATGGGGTATAACGCGTCTGCCGCGAAAAGTTCAGAAACTTTCAACTTTTGACGCGTCGGCATCAGGTTTGTATTTTGTTTTGTGTAGAATAAGAATTAACTAAATTGAAATAAATTTCATCAAAAATGAAAGAAAAATATAAAAAATAAACAAAATCTTAAAATTTTGATTTTTAAAACAGTAATAGTCTTAAAAAACATTAAAAGAAATATTAAAATGACGCTTGGTGTGTAACTTGCAGGTTGTAAAGCGCGAAAAGTTTGAAAAGCGTAAAATGCGTTGGCGCCTCAACGCGTGATGTGTACTTCCACCTTAAACCGGCACTAGTAAAACTATAGAGAAGCCCAGACTGTTTCGACAATTTCAGTGTTTTCAGTGTTTTTTCAGTGTACAATACATAATATTTGCAACTATGAGAAAAATATTGATTATCCAACCATGCAAACAGCTGATAATACTCACCACAAAAAAAATGTGAAAACAACAATAAAAAATTGCTAAATCAAAAAATCCAAAATTTTCATTTACACAAACAATGAAAAAAAGATCTTTTTGTGATAAAGTGCGTGATGACAACAGAGAGTGACAATTGCTATTATACAAGGAAACGGATCGGTTGCTGTTTCGTTTATTTTTTTTTAATTTAATTACTGCATATTAATTATTAATTTCATTTCGTGCAAAGAAAACTATAGCAAAAATACCGCTGTCATTGTATGGAAATTCCTTCGGCCAAATTGTCATGTAACAATTGAAAATCGGTGCTTAATCGGAATTATTATTTAAATTAAATTTAAGGTATTTATTAATCAATCAATCTATAAAAATACAGTTATAAAAGTAGTTGTATGTAGTAAAATCATGTACAAAATATAATTTAGAATTAACTGTGCGAGTGTGTATATGTATGTACATATGTATGTTTGTTAGATTGTGTGTATGATTGTCCATTGTATTTCTGTTGTATTCCACAATCAGTCAGTTATTGGTGTGTCGAGCAATAAACAATTTATTGATACGACTTATGATTTGTTCTTCCTCATTTTAATTTTGTGGTTCATTGGTGTCCAATCTACAATTGTATATAAACCGTGTTGCCATTGTCACATTTTTGATGCTAGATTTGTAATTTACGATAGGTACATAAGGTACATAATAAAATAAAAATGTAAATATAAAAAAAATTTCGACTTAAATCAGGGTCAATAATCTAGTTAATATTAGAATCAATTTTAAATAATCTGGAAATATGTAAAAAGTTTCGGATTTATTTGATTTCAAAATTAGCATTTTTACAATTATAAGGTATTTTACAGCGAAACCGGTATTTCATACACCAACGAAAAGAAAGCTTTTTACCAAAAAAAAAAACCTATTAGAAGAAAAGTTATTTTAAAAATAAGATCTGCGCCTGGTAATATTTGTTTTCAAAATAATCATTAACAATAAACTTTCAATTACGAAAGAATTGACTTATTTTATTAATTCAAATAACTTAGAAATATAGGTATATATTACTATTACTATATATATTTAGGTATTGAAGAATTTTTACTTGAGGGTAGATTATAGTGTTCTTATAGTATTATTATCTTTCAGTTTAACATTTACGTTAAACATACAAAATTTTAATTATTTACAAAAATCATCGGTTTTTGATTTTGTAACACTAAGTTGAAAACACCGGATTTTGAAATTAACCCTTTAGTTGCAAATAAGCTATGTGAAATTTTAAAATTTTAATTACCTATAACTTCGAAAAAATAAAAAATATATATATTAAAATAATATTAAAAATTCACCAAATTTAAATGAAATATAAAATAAAGATGAAATTAAAAAACACTCATTGACTGCAACAAAACATATCTTTAAATTAAAGAAAGAAACCATATTTGCATCAGAAAAACTACTTAATTGAATTTTGTCACTTTTTCGTTTTTAAAAAATTCTTTTATATTGAAATCATTTAAAAATTGCTATTATTTTATTGTAAAATGTTTTATACTTTAACTTTTCCATCGAGATATTTTTGTTGTTACTGATCAACTTTTTACAAAATTATAAATTCATAATAATTGTGAAATTATTTATAAAAGTTTACTTCGAAAATATACAATGTAAGAATTTGGGCCGAATTTAAACTAAAATTATACTTTTATAAATCAGTCATTAAAATATTGTTTAAACATTAATTTTTTTTTTCAAACATAAGTTCATAATAATTAATAAAAATACTCTAGTCCCCTTATTCATAAGCAATATTTTATTTTATAAAAGCTTTATAAAACAAAATATCCACACAAAATTTGATTTAAGACCGTTTTTAAAATAAAAATTAACTTATGAACAAAGCTTAGAGCTTTGAAATTATGGTTATATATTTTAAGACATTGCTTATTCATGCCTTATTCATTTGGCAACACTGTGTGTAACAGTAATAGCTTTGTTGTTTTGTTATTATCAATATGTTTGTAATCGAGTTTATTGTACATATGCACATTGGGATAACCTCATTTGTATAGAGCAAAAAATATTTTACAATATAATATGTATTTAACTTGTGATAGCGTTTAGCGAGTTTCAAGAAATTTAATACAAAAATTATTAAAAGGTAGAACTGGGCACAGTTTTTATACCGTACCGTAATATAGGCCAATTTTTTCTTTTTAAATTTGCCTCAATTTTTTTCGAACATCCGCAATTTATGGAGGTTTAATGGTTATTAAAATCCGAAAGTCAGAAAAATCAGAAACATTTCTGTTAACATCATCATTCTGGGTAGTCGGAATATAACTGACTACCCAAAATTGTGATGTTAACAGAAACAAATTTTTTAAAATTTTTTTGCAACTTTTAATTTCATCAATTTAGTTTTAGATACTGGAGAACAAATTAAGACTTATCATAAGAAAATCAATTATTAAGGGCACCTCTAATGTACCTCTATACTACAAATTTTGTCGTTGTCATTAATAACACTTTGCGACATACAATTTTAAATCAAACGAAACAATAAAATCAAAAATATACATTCATGGATGCTAAAGAGTATGAAGGTACTATAATAATATAGCTAACAGAAAAATACGATATCTAAATATGTAAGTCAACGCATCATACACATATATGTACATTTATTTGCAATGACCATCGAAGACAACTGTATCGTTTCAAAAATAAGTAAATAATAAATTTGGAGGTTTCACTACTCCTTGGCCCGATTGAGTTGTTAAAACTGCTTAAAACCGCTTTTACAAATACATATTTTATTGTGTTTTCGCCAGTAATAAAAACACGTCACCACTTGAAATCAAGAATTCTGTTTATACTAGTGTACATACAACAAATGTTCTATACGTAAATGCTAGTACATTAATACACACGAACGTACGTACATATACATTTATGTAAGAATATCGGTCAATACATATTTACTTTTTATATTATTGTATTATGTTGTTATTTGAAGTTTATTTTTGTTTACCACTGTTTCAAAGTGAGTTCTCTTCCACAATATTTTTCCGAAATGCACTATATAAAGATCCCACAAAGGCGTGATTGCTTTCCCATTCACTATTGCACCCAAAAAAATCAAACGACGTCAATTTCCAATCCATTATGTGAATTAATATAAATAAATATAAACAAAAATATAATGCTATGACTTCGATTTTCGTTTTTTATACAATTGATCCTTTGATAGCATTGCATTTAATGTTATGTTTAGCAATTCGGAAAATGACTTATCTTATTAGCTCTTTAAGATTTAGTGATTGTATTGTCTAGACTTCATCCATAGATTTTTACGTTTGACAGTGTTCGTTATTGTAATAACTGAAGATCATAAAGAGATACGTTTTTTAAAATTTTGCCCGTTTGACATCATTTTACATATTAGAACGTGGCTGTTAAATTTGTTTTTTAGAATTCTGAATTTCTTACAGAAATTTCTTGTAAGCTTGTCACTTCAATCTAAACACATTTTGCTAAGGCACATCATGAATGTAGGATGAAATTGTTAAACATTTGAACATGCAACATATTTTAATACATATTTGCCCTAAACATTTTAATTACAGATATCTTGTTTTTTTCTTTAATTAAATTTTGATTTAATAATAATATTCGGTATGTTGAAAGGTGAAGTAAAGAAAGATTTTCTTGCCTATATACTTCAATTGTTATTCTTATTTTTAATTCATGAAAATATTTGGATTACCAAAAATATTTTTGTATAATTTGCAAAATTTGCCCGAACATTAACGCCTGTTGTAATTACATAGTAAACAGTACCAACTGTCCCATATCACATTAGATTTTATTTATACATTTTAAACGAAATGTATTGTACGATTTTTAAAATTTCCATTCAATTATTTAATTTACCCCTTATCATTCATTACCAAAATTCATAAACAATCCCTTTCTTTATCTCGTAAAAAATGCTCAATTATCGTTGGAATAATCTCAACAATTTTTACTTTGGAGAGCATAATAATCTGCCGCAATTGTTTTACTACATAAAATGTTTTCGTGTATTCCAAACTAGTGTTTATAAAAAACCGACTTTTGGAAAAACCGGTTTTTCGGTTAACCGAAAATTGACCATTTCTAGAAAACCGGTTTGTCGGTTAACCGAGTATAAAAAAACCGGTTAAACCGGTTAACCGAAATGTTTGGAAATCTTTAAAATATTATAATATTTAGTTGAAAAAGTCATTATTATGAATTACTTAATAAGATATTTGCACTTTTTAGTATAGATATGCACATTAATATATCATAAGAAAACAAACTTATATAGATCTGAAGATATTATTGATTCGTTAGGTATATGGAAGTTGCCATAGGAGGGATAAATTGACCTTTGAATATATAATCCATCTATATCAATAGCAAAAATTATGTCCAGAACTATCAAGGCTCGCGACGATTTATCGGGAACGGAAGTAGACGACGACTGTCTCGACATAGACAGTGACCTCCCTTCGCTCGCTACGCCTGTGGTTGTTCAAATTACTGTGAATGACTCTTAGGAATATTGACAGGTGTCATTCTGACTTCCTGTCAATCAACCTAAGCGCCATTACAGTTTGTGAAAAACCCCAGCAGCATAAGTTCTCGGACGGCAACAACAATCCTTATGTTTCGATAAATAAAGTCCGTTTTGAGAACGTTTGTGAAACTTCTCGATTTTTATTATACTCACGCAGTAAACAAGTAAGTGCATCCTGAATTTTACCATCAATGTTATTTATCCGTCTTAATAAATAACAAATTTCTTCATATAATGGTTGGAATTTGTTTAAATAGTTAATTTTTTATTGGTTTAAATGCCAACTTTTTACTAATTTCCTGATTATCTGAAATTGTAAATCTCCATTTTATATACATAACATTTGTTTAACAATCTTAGGTCTGTTTTCATATGCACAAACGGAAATAATGTTTAGAATTATCTATCCAAAATGTTTAAAAACCACAATAAAAAATCAGAGAAAACATACAATTTTGTACCAAAAATTTGTTTTTTTTTGGAACCGGTTAACCGAGACTTAAAACCCGGATAACCCGGTTAACCGAAAACCAATGTTTTAAAAAAACCGGTTTGCGAAAAACCGAAATATGCAATAAAAACCGGTTTTTCGGTTATCCGGTTAACCGGTTTATAAACACTATTCCAAACATAAGAAGTATGATTAGACAAATTTTTGTTTTTAAAACGTTTATTAAGGGTGTCCTAAAGTTTACGTATGTTTTATATTAAAAATAAACACAGCCTAATAAAAAAATATAAAAGAAATTACCAGGAAAATAACAGACAATAGAAAAAAAATATGAATGTTTTATTTTTCTAAATTAATTACATTCTATTAACATTTTGAATGAAAATGGTTTGGGAAAAAAGTCATGTTCGATTCATAAAATTTATTGCAAAATTAATTCCATAATTTGTTTCTGTGTACTAACTTTTTGTGTGAAAGTGCTATAATTTTCAATTTGAAGACAAAAATTTTCAAATTAATTATTAAAAGCAATGCAGGAAAAGTAAATATGTTTTCAAATAAATTATAATTTATTTCAAACGTTTTTTCATATTGGGAATATATCTCTGTACTATAAGACATCGAGAAATTAAATTTACCTATAAGGAATTTATAAAAAAACCAACTCGTTGAAGTCTTTAGATTGATTGCATTCAAATTTAATTCTTATTGAGTCAAACAGAATCTTTAATAATGAAATTGTGTTGTGGTATCAAATGAAAAAATGATTGATGAAAAGAATTGTAATCTTTATAGATATTATTACAAATTTATGAAATTAATAAATGAAATTAATAAATATATCGGATTGATTAATAACTATGTACTAGAACAAATTACGCGCAAATAAAGTAAGAATAAATATAACATATCTATTATTGAACATGAAGAAATTAAATATAAGGGCCGCCACGATCTAAATATTGACTTTTATTAATGCGAACAATATTCTCATCATTCAATCATACTATAACTCTTACACTAAGCCTATTTGGATGCCTTTGAATCCCCTCCCGCATTGCTTTATAAATTTTATATGTAATTTAAAATAAACAACAACTACTTAGAAATAAAAAATAATCAGCTGTTCGATTGTATATACCTGATTATTCAATAATGTACAGTTAAAAAATAAACCCAATCATACTGTTAAAAATTGAAAGACTATTTAATTTTTTCTCTACTCGGGAAAAATTCATAGATGAGGTACTCAATAACAAATAATTTGTATGTCAAGGGTAATGATTCTGCACACTGGGTTATTTTTTCTGCTTAAATATATTTGTTTTTGTTCATATAACCGTGGATAACCTTAATATTTATTTTTTGTATTTTCAGATTATGGATAAGGACAAAGTTATAAGTAAGAAACAAAGTTCCGTAAATAAAAAACATAAAGTAAATGGCGCAAATGATACATGTGATAAAACTAGTAAGTGCTTAAAACTGATAAAAATTCTTATTTACAAAACTCCTTCTAAGTATTTATCTTACCCGGACGTTACACCTACATACATGTTTTTCTTTGAAGCTTTTACACAAACTGCTTGTCAAAATCCATTGGAAATTGCTCTGTGGCGTAAGCTGCACACAATTTTAAAGCAATTTTACTTTTCATTATATTTTTATTCATTATCATTATATTTATTTTTTTTTATAAACTTATAATATTTATAAAACAATACATAAAATTTAGTCAAGAGATGTTTCAGATGTAAAACTAAAAATTATTCAAACAATTATTTCTTGATTGTAAAACTGAAACAGTAGACGGAAAGAGAAATTGAAAAGCAACGTTGTTTCAATTTTAAAAAGTGTGTATGTGTGGTTATTTGCGATTTTTTTATTCAATTATAAATCCTTTTTATTTTATTACTTCTTTTGTTATACATATAATTCACCAAAGTTTTCGTTATCCCTGTTCCAATATTGTGCTATTCTTCGACATGGGTCTGTTTCAAGTTATTCTTTTTTTAATGTTTGTCCGCTTTTTACTTGGCTATTCAACCATAAATGTTCTATCGGATTGAGATCTGGCGATTGTGGTAAATGTAGTAGATTATATGAATCATTGTATGAAAGTCTCAAATACATGCTATGAGTTATTAACGTCTTAGGAAACTGGTAAATTAAACAAGTCTTTTAGAATATTCAAATTCCACCTTTTCCCCATAATAACGTTATTCCAGAAGCGGAGATAATCCACAATGTTTAAATAAGTTAAAAATAAATTTTACTTAAGGTATTTTCAACGCTGCGTATTAATACTTGTTAAAAATGTTTGTTTCATAATACAATTTTCTAGTCAAATATAATTTGTATTCATACACTTTTTAAAACAATTCAAAAACTTTTTATTTTCAAACGTATTCGGTATGTACATTAGGGATATATCTAATTTGGCGAAATTTTTGCCATACAACCACGAGATGACCAATGTTGTATAAGTAATGAAAATAATTTTTTTATGTCATTTGGAATCAGAAACATCACGCACCAAACCCAATTTCTAATTTAAAACTAATTTTTTTAAGTTTTTTATTTATTTATTTTTTTATTTATTTATTTATTTATTTATTTCGAATAAAATCAATTGTATTACATTTGACTTAGAGTATAAAGAGTTTAGGGGCTATGTCCCTTTTCTACTTAGTAATGAGTTTTTAAATTATATTATGTACAATATTTACAGTTTTATTATTATATATGAAGGAAAAATTTGCAAAAACCTATATGAAGCTATTAAGATAAAAAATTCTATGCTACGGTAAAATTACGATGATATCATGTCATTAATGTGGGGATATTGTGATGCTAAACATCTTCTGTTGAAGTTGGTGGTCAATTTGGCTATTCTATCATGGACGAGCTCGATGCCTGCAAGACTATGTAGACGTCGAGTAGAGTAATGCCAAGGAAGTTTAAAAACCATTTTAAGTAATTTATTTTGTGCTATTTGAAGTTTTTTTATGTGACATTTTGCGGAAGACGACCAAACTGGAGCGCAGTAGAACATAACGGGATGAAAAATAGATTTAACAATAAGTTTCTTGTTCTCGATATTCAGTTGCGAGTTTCTGTTAATTAGAGGGTACAGTACCCTAATTAATTTGTTGATCTTATTAATAATGTAAGGTATGTGACAGTAAAAGTTAACTTTAGTATCAAGTATAACACCTAGATATTTGACATTGTTTTCCCATGGTATGTCAATATTCATAAAACGTAATGGGCTCTGGGGAATAAATCTAGCATTACGCTTCCTGGTAAAATATATTGTTTGAGTTTTTTCTGGATTAATCATAATTTTCCATTTATCGAAATATGCCTTTAACTCACTAAGAGCGATTTGTAGGTTGGAGATGATGTTAACTGCATATGTGTCTGAGCAGAGAATTGATGTATCATCGGCGAATATTGACATGACGCAATTGGAAAATACTGGAACATCTGCTGTGTATATATTATATAGTATTGGTGACAAACAGGAACCCTGAGGGCAACCAGCTGAAATATTAACTTGCGTTGACGAAGTTTTACCCAGATATACATTAAAATATCTATTTTCTAAAAAGTTTTGTATTATTTTAACAATTTCGATAGGAAAATTTAGTCTTTTTAATTTGTATATTAACCCATTGTGCCATACTGAGTCGAATGCAGCTTTTATATCGAGTAATACCATACCCGTTGATTTACCAACATTAAAATTATTTTTCACCAAATTTCTAATTTTCAATAAGGGCTGAGTAGTGTTGTGTTCTGTTCTGAATCCAAATTGTTGTGGAGGTAGAATGTTATTATCATCAATGAAAACAACAATCTTTTCCTTCAGGATTTTCTCTAGTATTTTGCTTAGAGAAGAAAGTAAGCTTATAGGTCTATACGATGAAGGTGAATCCGCTGACTTGTTTGGTTTGAGTATTGGTATAGTTTTAGAAATTTTCCACGTAGAAGGGAAATAACATAAACTAAGACATGCATTAAATATTTTTGTAAGATATTTAATACCTTTATTAGGTAGATGTTTTAAGCATTTATTATTTATGCCATCTGAACCGGGCGACTTATTGTTTTTAAGTTTTTTAATAATATTAACCACCTTTTCCTGGGATATAAAATATGATTCAGGTGGGGCATAATTCATATTATGTATTTGAGCAGCAACATTGTTAACTTCAGAAATAGTTACGCTATCACTTAAATGAGCTGAAGAAGAGTGATTCAGTTTGAATGTATGAGCCAAAACTTCTACTTTCTCCCGCTGAGTATAGTAAATATTGCTATTGTTTTTCAAAATCGGAATATTACTAGATTTCTTTCTTAAAATTTTGGATATTTTCCAAAAAGCCTGAGATGATTTGTCAATATTGGACAAGGTTATATTCCAGGATTGATTTCTGAATTTAATTATTTCATTTTTTATATTTTTGTTCAAGCGTGACATTGCATAATAATCGTTTAAATCTCTAAATCTTTTCCAATTTCTTCGGTAAACATTTCTCATTTGCATCATGATTATTATGTTATTAGGCAGTGGTTTGATAATTGGTGCTGTATGCCTTTTGGGAACAGATGTTTCTATTGCTGCTTTTACAACATTATTAAAAGTATTTATCATGTCATCTATTTGATTTTTATTGGAAATTGCATTATGTTCACTTAATGTAGGCAGGTTTTTATTTACAAATTTGGTAAAAAGTGTCCAATTTGCCTTGTTGAAAGCGTAGACCATGTTATCTACCGACTTGTAAATAAGATTAACATTACACATAATAGGTAAATGGTCTGATCCTAGGTCGTTAATAACTTTGACAGCTGACATGTTTGATGATATATTAGTTAAAAATAAATCTAATGTCGATGGTTGTTTATGTGGATCTGCCGGAATATAAGAATATTCATGAGGAAATAATATTTGTGTTTGGTTTAGTTGAATTTTTTCATAGAGTATATTGCCCCATTTGTTATTTCTTAAGCATCCCCAATAACCATGTCTGCAGTTTAGGTCACCACCTAATATGTATTTATTGTTAGTATCTGTTAACTTGCGAAGGTCAGATTTAAATTTAAGTTGTTTGGAGATGTCAGAACCAGTGGTGCCTCCTGGAAAATAACAAGAATAAATATCAACATAGTCATTTCCACAACTTACTCTAACACCAATGTTTTCGACAACTTCAGTAGTTTTTGGTGGTAAAAGTTGATGAAGAATATTTTTCTTAATTAATATGGCAACTCCTCCTCCTGTACTGGTTTGGCGATCGAATCTATAACAGTAATAACTGTTATGTCTAATAGATAATTTATTATTTAGCCAAGTTTCACAAATTAGGCAAATATCAACGTTATGTTTCACTAAGAAATTAAAAAGTTCTTCTTTTTTTGTACGAATACTACGGGCATTCCATGATATTAACTTGATGTTATTGTTCATTTATATAAAAACTTAAAGGCAAGGTTGGTAACAACCTGAAATTGCTCCTCACGAGACTTACAGCTTTTTAGACTTGAAATTAATTCAAATGTAAGATCTTTTAATTCATCAAATGAAAACAAATTATTATTGTTATTAACATTGTTGTTGACGGATTGAGTGAACTGTTGACTATAGTTCATTCTAGGTGCATTTGAATGATTACCCATACTTTGGTTAAGAGTATTTGGGAAATTATTGTTGTAGTTTGTACCATTATTAAATGTTTGAATTCTTTTTCTAGGACTTTTTGGTTGAGATCGTTGTCGAATTTGTTTATATTGTTCTCTACTTGGGCATTCTGGCGACATAGCCTTATGATCACCGTTGCAGTTCGCACATTTTATAGTTGTAGAGGAGCATACTTCAGTTTTATGGTTTCCAGCGCACTTTGCACAGAATGATTTTACCTTGCATCTACTGGATCCGTGACCGTACATCTGACAATTGTAACATTGTGTTAACTTTGACTTATTTGGTTTTTGATATTCCCATCTTACTTTAATATAATTAATAGCAGAGTAATTTTGCCTTAGTTCTTTAAGGGTAATTGATTTCCTTTCAAAATAGACGATGAAAATAATATATTCTCTACTACCTTCAGCGGACCTAGTCACCATTTTAACATTGATGCATTTAAGACCTAATTTTATTAGTTGTGCCTTAATAACTGTAGGGTCAGTTTTCTCCAATCCAAGAAGAACAGCTTTATATGGTTTTTCGTTCTTTTGAGCATATGTAAAATATTCTAGTTGAAATTTTTCGGTAAGAGCAAGGCAAACCTTATCAAAATCTTCTTTATTTGAACAAAATAACTTCAAACCAATTGATATTTTTCGAATTGAATATTCTTTTATGACCAATATTCTGCACATTTCATGAATTTGATCAATCTGACATTTTAAAATTGTTATTGGTGGTATGTTCACCTTAACAGCTGGTTCGAAAACAACTTCATCGTTATCATCATCATCAAGAGTTTGAAGTGGTGTAAAAAAATTTGTATTTGTAGTTCTAAGAGAACTACTAGCAGTTGCTTGTCTCTTACTCATACTGTGGCCTCGAGAGGCAACAACAACATCTTCTACGTTTCTTCGCTTAATTTTGTTTTTTATTTTTTATTTTGAAACAATAAACAAAAATACTTGGTTGAAAAAAAAAAGAAAATACCGTACACTTTTTGATTGCAGATCAAAAGTAACAAGAAAATTATGACTTTACACATCAAATGATAGTGCAAGACTCAAGTTTTTATTTATTTTAAAATTAAATATTTATGGGAAATTCTTTTTTTGTAGGCTGTGCACACTTGTTGGATGATTATAGTCCATATTTAATAGTTGTGCCAATTATAAGTAAAGAATTACGTGGTCGCAAAGTTTTGAAACCAAATTTATACAATTTTACTAAATTTGCAGTTTTTTGGATAGAATATTTGGGACTCTTCGGTTATGTAAATTTAGAAATGAGAAAAGGTAGACAATGTAATTACGCGTCGTTTGATGTATATCACCAAAATGTGCTCTAGAAGATATCACTGTGGGAGAAGCTTAAATATCGAAAAAATTGCTTTTTCGCGAAGCACACGTTTTTGCATTAAAAAAGTATAAAAGGTTCATTCATGTAAATATATAATTTCTTTACAAAATTTGAATTAACCGAACTGGTTTTCATTTTAACGGTTTTTCAGATTAATAATTCATTTAAATTTAGAAATGAAAAAAGCAGTTAATTGTACATAAGAAGGGATATGTTAACTGCAAAAGAAATTTCATCAGAATTTCTCTTTCGCCGGAAACGCGGTGTTTCTTGTGTTGATGATTCGACGAAGCTCACCTAAACCGCTAATAAAAAATTGTTAACACTAACCATTAATCGGTAGGCGACTAAGAAGCTTAAACCAAAATCGATAAGCCGTTAGAAAAAAGTTCGGTCATGTGTATGAAATTTATTTCCAAACTATATATAGATTTTCTTTTTAACGGTTTTTATATTATTTACTCATTTAAATTCAGAATTGGAAGCAGATGATAATTATAAACAAGCAGTTATTGGCTAACCACAAAAATATTTGCATCAAAGTTTCTCGTGTGCAAAAAACGCAGTGTTTTTCTTTCAAGAATGAAGCACACCCGTCCCGCTAATTAAAATTAATAAAATTATATTATTTTAGGTTGCTATTAATGAGGTCTATAGCAAAATCTATAAGACGTTCAAAAAAATATATCCATTTTGGATTAAATTCAATTTTAAAAAATGCATTCGAATATATGCATAAATAAATTAAAACCTTATAATTTTTAATCTATCAAACATAAATGCATATCTTTTTTAGTTAATTTTAAATTAATGTATTAATTTATCATGTTAAATTGTGTACTTAGTTTTATAAAAAAATATTTTTTGAAGAGGTTGAAAAAACTCTTAAAAAGCGAATTTATCCACGAATATTTAAAATATTTGCGTTAAATTAATTTGTATTTTGGGTCCTTCGTTCTGGGTTATATCCACGCTTATATTTTTGAGTTTCAAGTAAAAACTTAATTTTGTGAATTTTTTTAAACTTTTAACTTTAAACTGCTTTAACATTGGCGGCACATCGTTGATGTGCTATTAAAAAAATTTTATAATATTTTTGAATTCCAAAATCTAAATTAAAAAGAGAATTTCCCTTATATATAGACATATTTTACCGAAAAGTATACTATTGTCACATCACGACTCGTCACTGCCTGTATCTCAGGCCTTTTTTAGATTTTTACGTAAATATACTACAAGTGAATAAAAAATTTTTGTTTATCATATTTGTTTTAAACATATCTCCGATTCTCATGAACTGATTTTACTGGTTTTATTAAACAGCTAAATTCTTAAAAGCATATCTAATTGAATTATCTAAGATTTGGATTCAGAATTTGGCATATACCAAATTTGCTTATATTAATAGTATACCCCTAATGTACATATTTTATAAATAAAATTTATAAAACAGATAAAAAGTCTAAAATACATTAAAAATGAGAACAAAATGTTCATAAACAATTGATATTTTTATAAAAAATATTATACACTGAAAATAATCCATGCCTAATATACACGAAAAATGTTTTACATTGTACGAAATGCTTCGTGGTTTCGCACCACGAAATTCTTTCGTAATATATACGATATTGTACGAAATATTTTAGTAAAATGCAAAATAATTTTATATAATTTTAGAAAAAAAATTTGTTCATTTTACAATTTTTTTAAAAACATAAATATTTTAGTTCTTTTAAAATAATTATTGTAAATTTAGAAAAAGATTGCGAATTAAAAAAAAAAAACAAATTTTTATGTTTTTTAAAAAAAAATAAAAAATTTTACAGGAAATTATGCAGCTAAATTCCTGTAAATTAAAAATTACGTTTAATTTAACTCCCTTAAAATTACGAAAATAACAAAAAAAAGAAAAAAAATCGTAACAAAATAATTTTTTTGTGAAATGAAAAATAAATCTTGTATATTACTAAATAATCTTGTTACGAAAAAAATTCGTTACTTTCGTTAAATATTACATGCCTTAACGAAATTATTTTTGTAAAAGAAAACAAAGTTTCTTAATATATACGAAAAAAGATATTACGACAGGTTTTCGTACTTTCGTAAAATTAGAAAAGGGGTTGATTAAACAATATTTCGTATTATACACGAAATTTATATATATATATTTCGTATATATTTCGAAAAAAGTAGTTACGAAATTTTTTTTCGTAAAGCTAAGCATGGATTATTTTCAGTGTAGTGTAAACATAACATGTATTTTTTGCACCAAAATGATTCGAGAAGCAGGTTTTCGTTATCAGAACATCACTGGCTACCACGTAGTGATGGCCAAACTTTGATTATAACCCTAGTGAACATACATACATATGAGAATCATCGAATCTTCACTAACAATGACAGTCTTCTGTTTATAATAAGACAATTGAGCAGACTTTTTAAATTTTATACAACAACTCCGTGATTTGTACACTGAAAATAATCCATGCTTAACTTTACGAAAAAAAATTTCGTAATATATACGAAAATTTCGTGTATAATACGAAATATTCTTTAATCAACCCCTTTTCTAATTTTACGAAAGTACGAAAACCTGTCGTAATATCTTTTTTCGTACATGTATATTAAGAAACTTCTTTTACAAAAATAATTTCGTTAAGACATGTAATATTTAACGAAAGTAACGAATTTTTTCGTAACAAGATTATTTAGTAATATACAAGAATTATTTTTGATTTCACAAAAAATTATTTTGTTACGATTTTTTTTTGTTATTTTCGTAATTTTAAGGGAGTTAAATTAAACGTAATTTGTAAAATTTTTAATGTTTTTTTATAAAATATAATTTTTTTTTTAATTCGCAATCTTTTTCTAAATTTACAATAATTATTTTAAAAAAATCGTAGAATGAACATTTTTTTTCTAAAATTATATAAAATTATTTTGCATTTTACTAAAATATTTCGTACAATTTCGTATATATTACGAAAGAATTTCGTAGTGCGAATCCTCGAATCATTTCGTACAATGTAAAACATTTTTCGTGTGTATTAGGCATGGATTATTTTCAGTGTACTGTGAACCTTAATTTAGCAGAAAATACTTTCACCGTCAAAATATTAAATTTCAATTTGATTATTACAGACATTTTTTCAAATTCATATTTTTGTTGTTGTAGCAAGTCTATTGAATTCTAAAGGCGATGGTATTGAATATGATTTAGTACCTCCTGATGGCGGCTGGGGTTGGCTTGTATTGGCTGGTTCGATGATGGTCAATATTTTAATACCTGGTACTATAAAAAGTTTTGGTGTCCTTTTTGTAGAGTTTTTGGAAGCATTTAAAGCATCGCCAGCAGCAGCTGCATGGATTCCAGCATTATGTTATTTTTTGTATAGTTCTTTGGGTATTAAACAAAAACACTATCTGCATATGTTATATACTATACAAATTTTACCATTTTATTTATATATTTAGGCCCCGTTTCTAGTATTCTTTCGGTAAAATATTCGTTCAGAACAGTAACGATATTAGGAGGTGCTTCTGCCGCGCTTGGCATGATAATATCATTCTGGGCATCATCTGTGGCTTACTTATATTTAAGGTATTAATAATTATAAATTAAAAAAATAAAATTTTAGTAAATATCCCAATATCAATTACTATGTAGCTATGGAGTTTTGGTTGGCATTGGGGCAGGCCTGTCATTTCCACCAACAGTGTATATTGTAACATCTTACTTTGTTAAACTTCGTGGTCTTGCTAACGGACTTTGCATATCCGGTAGTGCATTGGGCTCTATTATTTTACCACCAGTTTTAAGATGGCTTTTGGAAACGTACGGATACAGGTATGAATATAATTAAAATTAAATTTAATTGCTGTATATGTACTTATATTTTGTAAATTATTTTAGAGGCTCTGTTCTCATCATGGGTGGCATTACTCTGAACGTTTTTGTGGCAGCCATATTCTATGAACCAGTCGAACAACATATGGTGCGTGTTCCCAGAGTCAAGAAAACGTTGGATGACATTGAAGAGGAGGATATAGGAATAGTACTTAAATTTGAGACGGTCGATGAGACGAATGGAGAGGCAGACATAATGCACAACGATAGCACAGTCAATAAACAAATTATACCACAAAATTCACCGCCAATGCAATATCCAGATTTACACAATTACAATTTAGATGGGGACGATCCACAATTTGTTAGAAGTGCTTCAGCAACTGTGGTACAAAATTTTGGTAAAACTCAAGATGAATTTAATAGTTCATCTTCGTCTCGCATACGAAAAGTTAGCACACCAGTACGACTGCCACAAAGAAATCAAACATTCACTCCAGGCCAATTGAATTCACAATCTTCATTATATGCTGTACCAGAAGCTGGACGTTCCAGTCATAAACTAGAACGTCTTCATGCTTTGAGAAATAACTCGAAAAATCGCCTTTCTCGTCGATCTCCGTCGACCAGTAGTTTCCAGTATATAAGTACGCCTTATCACGGCAGTACACTATCTTTTCAGCCAAAAGAATTTTCTTCGCATCTTTCTTTGAGATCAGTGGCAAGTGGTTCTGGTGTGAATGCAAATGTTAGTAATGGAATGTTGGATAGTACTGGAAATATTGACCAGGAATCTGATGCTGGTAAACGCACAAAGTTCTTTGACCTAAGCCTCTTAAAGGATCCCACATACTTGGTAATACTGATATCAAATTCCACGAATGCTATCGGTTATACCAATTTTATAATTCTTCTGCCGGCTTATGGAATTGCACTAGGTTTTGACAAGTCTTTAGCTGCTTATCTAATTTCGATTGTCTCGGCAACTGACCTTATTGGACGCATTGGCGGTTCAGCATTATCAGATTTGGGTTTCATACCAAAGACTTGGTATTTTATAGGCGGCTTAGCAATTTCAGGCATAAGTTTAGCTGTATTACCATTCTCAACAAGTTACAGAATGGTCAGTTTTTGGTGTGCCGTTTTTGGATTGGCTTCAGGGGTTTATGTTGGCATTACTGCGGTAATAATGGCAGATATGCTCGGAACAGAACGTCTAACATCATCGTATGGCATAAGTTTATTTGTAAATGGTATTTTACAACTAGTAGGCCCACCCTTGTGTGGTCTTTGGTTCGAAGCAGTTAATACATACAGCCCCCTATTTCATACTCTCGGTCTTATTCTTCTTGCTGGAGCAAGTCTTTGGAGCTTTATGCCATTCATTAATAGGCGCAAATCGAAAGAAGAAAATTATGAAGAAGATTTGCAATAAATTACTAAGCTATTTAGCAATATTAATAGTCTTCAAAACTACAAGAACAGGGCATAATATTTATTATATTTTTTATATTATTTTCTCTTATTCTATCTCTCTTTTCCTATATTATGATGGTATAATCATTGTAAGAAAATCATATGTACGTACATAGTACATATTATGCAGGATTTACGCAATTTATTTCTTTTGATGTTTCCTTCAAAAGTACACCAACAAAGCTTAATGAATTCTAAGTCATATACAAATAGTGTATATTTATTATATATGAGATTTAATGACTTTATGTCCATCAACGTACTTATTAATGTAAAAACAGACATGAAAAGTTTAATTAAATGAAACAACAATTCGATTACTTACAGTTTATAAAAGATATGTCGTCTGTTTCTATATCTTTAGGCAATTTTTACTTAGTTTTTTTCTATCGATATATATATATAATATTTCAATATGTAAGTAAATGATTTTCTATAGTATTATATCATCAAATTGTTTGTTTTTAGTACTATATGTAGTGTATAGTGATTGTCTCCATGTAAATTAAATTTAGCCTAAGTTCAAATAGTAAATAAAAATTTTGTATACATACTAATAACAAAAATATTTCATCTTATAAGTATATACATACCCAGCAAAAAAAGTATTTTCATCACAACTAGTAACCCAAAGTGCTTCAAATTCAGTAGAAAACCTATAAATGTTACATAAGCATCATTTGAGGATGTTATTTTTGAGAAGCTGTAAAAATCCGATATTTGTATATCAAAAATAAACTACATTCTTTCAATGACACGCTTATGTAAATTTCATTAGTTTTTCATCAAAACCTGATGTACTTCGAATGTGTCATTTGTAGCGACTTTTATAAATATCTTTCCTCACTTTTAACTGGGTTTTCATTTGTAATGAAATATTTGGTTTATAAAAGCGAAAAATATGTAATTTCATTTTTAGATGCGATTAAGATGTCGTTTGTAAAATATGACATCAATTATTTTTTGCTGGGTACATACCCAGCAAAAACATTTCAATGGCTACTACATACCGTCTGCATTACATAGACTTAATATTTTTTCGAATTTTGCATTTTACACAAACGAAAAAAATTTTGTGAAAATTAATAGTAGACCTTGGCTATTTTTTCAAAAACAAAACTACTTAACTCAAGTTAAGGATTCTTGTTTACAGGCGATCGCAGTAAGTACTAACCTAACCTCCTATTTGTAAGCGAGCGAGGTAAGTACTTGCATTCAATGTCATCACCGTGTCAAAATAATGACACACCGTGTTAAAATAAACACACAAATTAATATTTTTTGTTTGCTCATGGAATGAAACATATATTCTTGGAAAGGGCTATGTCCGGTTGTTTATTAATAATTTTTATTTTTTTTCCTATACTTCGTAATTTTGAGATAAAGTGGTTTTTGTTAAGCATTCTTCTTCAATAGTGAGGGAAAAATATTTGAAAATGAGAATGGATTTTTGGGTGCTTGCACCTGTTTTGGGAACCTAACAATCAACTCAGAAAAAAATTCAATAATATAAAATTTACGTCTTCATTAACACACTTTTATCAGATTTCTTTATTTTTGGCCCGATTTTTAGTATTTTTTTTTTTTTTTTTAATTAAAAAAAATGAAATTTGAAAAAATTATTAACATTTTATTCCTGAATTACAAACTTACGGATCTGAATTTATCTCTCATAGTTCATTTCTTACATTCCCACTTATACTTTTTCCCAAAAACTATTGGAAGTGTGTGTGATAAAAATTGCATCTATACACCAAGATTTAAGATTATTGCAACGTAATTTTTAATATTTTTGTGACAGGAATCCATTGTTGCAGAGCTGTGAGGAAGACCAGTAATATTGTTTGTATACAAAATAACTACATCCCTAAATATTTAATTTTGCCCAATAATTTAACCCTTTCTAGCATTTTCTTTCTTTATGAATAATTCAAAAATGTGACGTCCAAGATTTTTACAAAAATATTTTTTCTGGACTTAGGCGGCCAAAATAAAGAAATCCATATAGCAAAATCGTTGTAAGAAATCATGAGCAAAATCATTGTAAACCTAGTGTTATTAATTAAAATACTGATAAAATGTTTTAAATAAGAAAATTCAGATGAAGAAGAATTAAAATGTTGTCCTGCTTTAGATACAAGTTATATGTATCGACGGTTTTACAAGTAATATTAGCTGTGTTCCAGAACTTTTCTCGCTAAAGAGAATTAATGAATTTTCTCTTAGAACTTAAAAAAAGTACGGGAACAGATTTTCTCCTTTAATAAATTTGTATTGAAGTTTATTCAAACAAATATCTATTGAAATTAAATTGAAAAACTACAATCACACATACTTATTTATCAAAACAAATCAAAAATGTCAAACATTTTTTGTTTTCAATGTATTTTTTCAAACAAATTATTTTTTTTGACAAAATTTTTCTATTCGCCAGGAAAAAATGTTCTAGCCAATAATATAATAATATAGCAAGTTTTTATTTTTTAATTTTTCTTTCAATGAAAATTCATGGCAAACAATTTTCTACTCTCCCTAGTGATTCTACTTGGTTATAGTTGTATCATGGTTCTGTACCTCGTTTCTGTATTTTTCTCAAATCGAGAAAAAACTTATAATTGTTGATGATAATTATTTGTTATATTATAGTTAACACTTCTTAATACTGTTTATGTTTATATAATTTGTTTTGATCATGTATTATTTTGTTATATTATAATAATTATATTTTTCATAATACATCAGTTCTTAAAAATAAATACTCAAACACAACAGGTTATGAGCCCAGAAATTAATTGAAAAATAAAAAATAGTATTTTTGTTTTTTCAATCAAGAAAAAGAAAAAACTTTTAACATTAAGAAGATGGATTTTTTCAAACATATAAAGCCTTTAGCGGAAGAAACCGATTGACCGATTTGGAGAGAGATTTATTAGACTACCACGATGGAGCTCTAGATGTCATCGATAGAAAATTTACCAAGCCTTTGGAATTGCCAACAACTGCAAGAGAAACTCAGGTTAAAGTTTATAAAGAATCATGTGACAATTTTAGAAAGGCAAATAGTTACGCCAAATCAATTATCACAAGTGCTGTATCTGATGATGTTTACCAGAAGATTATGGATACGGAATTAGCTGCTGATGCATGGGAAGCATTGAAGTCATTATACGAAGCCTCATCAAAGGATCATTTTTTTCAAAATTTGCACCGATTTTTTTTCATTTGGTTGGTCCCCTAAGCAAGATGTGTCAATGCATATTGCAAAACTTAAAGGTTTGTGGAGTGAACTGAATAATGGGCTTAAAAGCAGAAACGAGCAGCCGTTACCCGAATTATTATTGGTCTGTAAAACAATGCAAATATTACCAGAACAATTTGAAAACTTTACGAGCAGCTGGTTGCTGTTAACTAAAAACAAAGAAAGATCATTTGATGAAATAACAAATCAATTATGTATGTATGAACGAAATTTTCGCAAGTTTGAAGATAACAACGAAGAGCAAGAAGCCTTAGTTGTGAAAAGCTACAAGAAAAGGAATGATAAGTTCAAGACAGCCAAGAAAGACGATAAGAAACATGAATCTACATGCAATTATTGTAAAAGGTCATTGGGTGAGAGATTGTAAGAAATGGATATCAGGTCGTCCCCCCAAAGATAAAAGTCAAAACAATAATATTAGTCTACCTCTCATTTGCAATGAAATAAATACAGTGGTTTCAAATAAGGATTGGTGGATAGACAATGGAGATGTTTTTCAATTTTGAAAAATTCAAGACGCCTTGTGATATAAAGTCAGCTGGAAGTGAGTCATTGAAAGCCATAGGCAAAGGTGTAATAAAAATTGATTCTAAAGTTGACAATCAAAACGTGAAGCTTAAACATAGTGATGTTTGGTACGTTCCTGGTATATCTAGCTTATTTTCTGTACTAGCATGTCAAGATAAGAACAAGAACAGTTTATTTTTCTCAACATCAACTAAGTGCACATTAAAAGTAAATGGCGAAGTGATGCTTTATGGCTATCGTCAAGAAAGTGGTGGTTTGTATAAAGCTGATATTAAACCAATACCTCCAGAAAAGGTTAATATTGCTATTAACAAATCAAGCCTGCAACTATCAACAACACCAGGAGAACTAATAACAACTGATGTATGCGGACCTTTTCCAGCTTCTTATAAAGGAAAGCGATATTTAGTTTTATATAAAGATCACTTTACCAAATTTCGATATGGATATTTCGTTGCTCAAAATTCAGAAGTAAAGGATACATTAAAAAGTATGATTGCTAGTCGGACAGGGTCACAAAATTAAAGAACTCTTGAGTGATAATGGAGGAGAATTTAACAACAAAGATGTTAAAGCTATATTGGACTCAAATGGTATTTCACAAAGATTAACAGCACCATATACTCCTGAACAGAATGGTTGTTCTGAAAGAGATAATCGGACAATTATTGAGATGGCAAGAACATTTATGTACTCAAATCCCGAAATTACGTTTCCAGATGCTTTGTGGGCAGAATTTGTAAATAGTGCCATTTATATTTTAAATAGAACCAGTAAATCATCTATAGAAGACATCAGTCCCTATGAGTTATGGATAGGCAAGAAACCTCGCATTAAACATTTAAGAATTGTGGGATCTACTTGTTATTTCCATGTGCCGAAACAAAAGAGAAAGAAGTTAGACAAAAAGGCTATAAAAGGTTATATGGTTGGCAATGACGGTGAGGAAAGATATAGAATTTATAACAAAGAGAAAAATACCGTTGAATTATCTAGAGATGTAATATTCGATGAAAAACTAACAGAATGCAAAGAAACATCTGAAGTTAAGTTACCATTTAAAGATTATAAAACTACATTTGAAAATCCAGTTGAAATATATGAAGAGGAGCCAGAAGATAATAGCGCTGAAGATGCTGATTTTGAAGAAGATATTGAACATTCTGAAGATATTCTAGAAGAAGCTGCAAATGATGAAGAATATTTCGAAATATCTGAAGATAGTACAACAGAAGTGGAAACTGTACAAAGGCAAAAGCGTAGAAGTGATGATACATCATTTGAAGAATATGTTCCACTTTCTAAACGTTTGAGAGATAGAACAATAATCAAGAACAGCTATTACGATGATTACGTATTGACAATGTCAGATTTTATTAGTAAAATAAAAACACCATCAACTTATAACGAAGTGTTAGTTAGTGATGAAAAAGAAATGTGGTTAAAAGCTATGCACTCTGAGCTTAATTCCTTAAAAGCAAACCAAACTTGGGAGATGGCAAATTTACCAAAAGGAGGAAAGGCCTTACCATGTATGTGGGTATTTAAGGTTAAAACTAAAACTAGATAAATTTAAAGCTCGGCTAGTAATAAAAGGATTTAACCAACGCGCTGGAATAGACTATAATGAAACATTTAGTCGAGTTGCTAAGATGAGTACTATTAGAGCCCTCTTAAGTGTAGCTGCGAGTGAAGAAATGCATCTTTCACAATTTGATGTTTCTACGGCATTTCTTTATGGGAAATTGGAGGAAGATATCTACATGAAGCAACCTGAAG